TATTTATGTTTGTTCTGAAAAACTTGGACTAACAAAATTATACATTTATTTGATTTCTCTTGAATTTCAGTTCTCTAAATTTCTCTTCCTGTTTTTCCAATACATCATCTTATGGGATCTTAAATGTTGAATTTTGCCCAATGCTGGTTTATAGCACAATTATAAAGGGGAGTTCATTAGGGTGATAATTATTTTATATTGAATACCACACAAAGGAATGAGCTCCACAAATGCATGCAATAATTAAACATGACATTATTTGTCAACATATAACAGGCGTTTTGAATACAGACCAGGTTTTTATAGTCTATTTATCACAAGTGTATAACTGAACTCGTCTCAGATGTCACCATTAGGAGGAACGGCTCATGCCACTGCTAAGAGGCAGATGACCATCTGGTGTGTCATTTATTACGGGTTATGCCAGGACTGTAATGTATTGCCCCCTAGAAATATCATTATACACAAACTCTGAAACAAATAAAATAAGTGCAGTTTAAGCCATTTAAGTAACAGTCTGAATAAACAAAAGCAAAATAGTTCAGGGCTAGTTGAGCTGCTCCAACCGAGTGCATCAGTTTACCCATCCACTATATCATAGTTCATATAAATGAACCCATGATAAATGTTTGTTATCAACTTAATTAAAAGAGGATTCCAATTAGTATGCGAGTGAAGTGTTGTAGAGTTTATGTGTTAGGGAGTTTGACGGACTGAGGGCACATGCACTCACCATCTGGCCTAAACGATAAGCTCTTGGACATTGCCTTGATATGTAACATTTGTAGAATTAGTGGTTTTCTCTTGTTTGTGGTTTTCTCTTGTTTATATTACAGAGATTTTATATTTGAAGCATCATAGCATGGCATAATCTGTCTGACTCACTACATACATTTCAAATACCATTTCACAGTAGTTCTTGTTTCTAAACGTGTTGAAACTTTTTTTGATGATTGTATGCATTTTAATTTTGAATACCATCATGAGATCAATAATTCTGTCAAATTTAAGATATTCACTGATTCCAAATATTTAATATTTATTCATTCTTAATTGAAAAAATGTTACCCATTTTATTCATCGCAAGCAGCTTAAAAAACATTTTTCTTTTTTATTTGACAAATATACAGCTATTATGTATGAAGCAGGGGTTTGTGGCTTTAAGAATTGAAATGAAAATGCTTTTAAATGTAAAGTAATTAAAATTAGCATTGGAATTAACATTGTTTATGATAGTCTGGATTAAATTAGTTTAAACTAATGGGTTTATAAAAGAGTCTTTTAAGCATGTGAAATCCTGATTTTCCTGACATTCATGAAAATACATTTATATCTATTCATATTTATTCATCATTAACTGTGAATTTTACCCAACTCCATTATATTCATTGAAGGCTATACCAAAACCTTGCTGTCCAGTTATAATGGTGCTGAAAGCACTGTTTGACAAGGTTGGGGTTTGATCCCTTTGATGCCTTTTTTTTTTATAAATCACCTGTTAGTGCATGCTGTGTTCTTTGAGATAAACATTGCATAATGCTAAAACCTCATTCTTTAATCTTCCAAGCTCTTTGAAACATTACATTGTCTTTTTTTAAATAGTGACATAACCCCTTATCTACTTCAGGAACACCATCAAGCCAGTCCGAAGAAAGGCAAAATGGCCACAGACCCATTTTAAGTGACAGCTGCTCTTCTGTGACAAAGGTAATTTCAAATGCAAGCAGGTCCATTCATTTGATTTCCTCCACAACTCCCAGAGTGCTGAATGTAATTATCATCCCTCCATCTAGCGTCCCTAGGGGGCCCTTCCCCCTCCAGGCTTAGCTGTGACCGGCCCATCGCCCATCCCTCTGCCTGAACATGTGACATTATCCTGTCCCGCCTGCCTGTCCTCACCCATCAGCACCTAGCCAGCTGTATGACTTTTATAATCTCCATTCAATGTCTGATCCAGGATCAGTCACCATTGACTCCCATTTCAGCCTTATAATAGAAAGTAAAAAGACAAAACCAATTTGGACTTGTACAACAACAATAATAATGATAATAATAATTTAATAGTTTAACAATTTTATAATAATAATAATAATATAATCATCATCATCATCATCATCATAATTCAATAGTTTAAAAAAATATATTTATAAAATAAAAAATATTTATTATTATTATTATAAATAAATACATATTTAATAATAATGATGATAACAATAATAATAGTAATAAATGTTTATTATTATTATTATTATTATAGTTGTTATTGTTGTTTATTTATTTATGGGTATTTATATCTCCCAAATAGTGATATTTTAATGTTTAGCATGTTTTAATGTTGAGATGTTTGAAATTGTGTCTCAGAGCATTAAAATGAGATTATGAGAGTAAAATAGTTCAAATAGTCACTGTAACTGTCTCAGTAGAAATGAATAAATCAGGACGGAAGTAGACTAAATGTTGTATGGGAAAGGTAAGATATCAGGAAATTTGCAGTAGCTTAAATGAAAAGTAATGGTGTCCAGAGGTGCAGGCCTCGAAAAGACTTCATTTACATTCATATTTTAAGGATAATTAATCAGAATCCGTAAAAAACAGCCTTGTTACTGAGGTTTTCATTATGAAATCATACCCACAGGACAGAATCAGTTCACTCAGAATAGAAAGAGACTGCATCATCACAGATGATGATTTGATTGCACTCAGTCAAGTACCTGCCTGCAATTGTGTGTGCAAGCTTTTGTTTGACCATATGTGCAGACGTGTCCTCAGTGGTGTGTGCATTTCAATTTAACGTGTTTGTATTCATGCGTTTTAGATCGACTGAGTGCTTTGCAGGCAACTACTAGTGGATGGTCACGGATAGCCTAAAGGCTTGGCTTCTGTTTCTGAATGTGCGTGCGTGTGTGTGTGTGTGTGTGTTTTCTCTCCAGATGGTAAATATGATCTGTTTCACGGCTTTGGCTGTAGCTAGTTTAACTTGTGCAATTTTGCTTGTGACTGCATTTGTTTATTTTATGGCAGTATGCATCACAACAAACACCTACTTTGCTCTCATCTAATTTGAATACAAAGCCCCGCCTTGTGTAGGAGGCCCAGGCTTCATGACCCATAAGTAATAACCCTTAGGCTCAATGCCCTTCCTCCACAAAAATTAATAGAACCATACGGATTTTACATCAAAAATGAAAATGCCGTTGGTCTATAAAAAATTTGTAAACATTAATGTTACTGCAAAATTTATATAATAAAAGAATTTACTTTGATTAAGTTTTAAGTAATGCAAATATTAATGGCAATGGCAATATGAAATAAAAAATGTGCAAATGTTACATTAAGGGGCTATTTCAATCCACTCTGATCCATGTAAGTAACCTAATGTAGTCAGGTTGATTATGTCATTTCATTGAGATAAAAACAAGTTAATTACCACATGAAATACCGCAGTTTAGTGATAGCAAATGTTGCTTAAAACAATAATAATAATAATAATAATAGTAATTGTTGTTGTTGTTAATTAATTGATAATGATGATGATGATAATAATAATAATTATTATTAATTATATATAATAATTATTACATACGGATTTTACATCAAAAATGAAAATGCCGTTGGTCTATAAAAAATTTGTAAACATTAATGTTACTGCAAAATTTATATAATAAAAGAATTTACTTTGATTAAGTTTTAAGTAATGCAAATATTAATGGCAATGGCAATATGAAATAAAAAATGTGCAAATGTTACCTTAAGGGGCTATTTCAATCCACTCTGATCCATGTAAGTAACCTAATGTAGTCAGGTTGATTATGTCATTTCATTGAGATAAAAACAAGTGGTAACACTTTACTTGAAGGGGTGTGCATAAGACTGACATGACACCTTAATAATCATGACATGACACATGTCATGAATATGAAGGAGGTTTTATGCATGTTTATGACAACTGTCATTAAGTGTCATTCGCTCAGTTATGTCATTTTTAATGCAAATATGACATTATTTGACCTAACCCTAACCCTACCCCTAACCATAGCCCATAACAAAGACATCCCAAACAATGTCATATTTGCATTAAAATTACATAACTGAGCGAATGACACTTAATGATAGTTGTCATAAACATTCATAAAAAACCTTCATATTCATGACATGTATCATGCCATGATTAGGTAGGTGTCATGCCATGATTATGAAGGTGTAATGTCAGTCTTATGCACACCCCTTCAAGTAAAGTGTAACCAAACAAGTTAATTACCACATGAAATACCGCAGTTTAGTGATAGCAAATGTTGCTTAAAACAATAATAATAATAATAATAATAATAGTAATTGTTGTTGTTGTTAATTAATTGATAATGATGATGATGATAATAATAATAATAATTATTAATTATATATAATAATTATTATGTTAATACTAAAAACGATTATAGATTATGAATAATTTCTTATATATAAGTCGTTATAATTAATAGTAATAAATAATAATAATAATAATAAATATTATTATGCCTACATTATTCTGAAATGCATCATAATCATAATAATGTGTCATAATAATATTTTCTTTTTTAAATATGCCGCCCCCAAAACGATAATAATAATAACAATTATTATTATTGTTATTATATGATTATTATAGTTTAGGGATGGTATATTTAAAAATATATATATTTTAAATGATACAGATTAAATACTGACACAGGATAATACATGTAATAATGTAGGCTAAATAATAATTATATTAAATGACAACAGCAACTAATATAATAATAATAACAACAACAACAATAATAATAATAATAATAATAATAATAATAATAACAATACATTATTATTATCAGTAGTAGTAGTAATAGTAGTATTACAATTTTTTACAGAAAAAAAATGCATCACCCACTATGTGTGAAACATATAATAATTCTGGCAAATGGCAAAAACTGGCCAAAGCTTTATTTAGTGAGTCTCGGGGGGATACAGAGCGAACGCTCTCCCCTCCTCCGCCATGTGATGACGGACAGACTGTATCACCGGAGCGATGCTTGAAGTCACTCTCATCAGCAACAAAGCGAAGCAACAGCAGCAGCAGCACTGACGTAAACCATCCACCACATCACCGGAATCATACGGACCAGGACCGACACCATATCGTCTCCTCCGAAGGACGTATAGGATGGAAACGGAGCGCTGAGAGAGACTGGGATCGTGATAATGCTCGGACTCCAATTCACGGCAACATTTGAAATGCGCGTTAAATGGAGACTCATGACAAGAGATGCTGCAGGGTGCCGCATTGCCTGGCCGCTTGATGATGGTAGGATAGAGCAGCGCTTTTAACCGTGATGCTCGTTCTTAGATGCTTTCGGGGTGGGATTTGTAGTCGATTGAATGCCTCAGATTTGATCATACGCAAACTAAGACGATTTCAGCCTGCTTAAGCCATACATGCATACACATATACAATCGATGAGCACGACCAGATGAATGTGAATTTACGTTGCAGAACAAGCATTAATAAACCCACAATACAGGTGAACTCAGAAGGAGTATATGAGGTGAACTAACAGTGTCGTAGCTAACACTCAGGACCATCTCCGAAGTCAGGTTTTTATTTGCCAGCACTGCTGTGATAGGGCTCTTTATGATTGATATTTTCATCATCAGTTAGGTAATATACAGTGATAGTATACACAGTCAGTCTTGGTTCAGTGCAAGGACAATGACTCATTTACAGGCAGGCCTGTCTCCAGAAACCCTGGAGAAAGCCAAGGTGGAGTTAAAGGAGAACCCCGACACTTTGCATCAGGACATACAGGAGGTTAGGGACATGATCATCACCCGTCCAGACATTGGCTTTCTCAGGACAGATGATGCTTTCATCCTGCGCTTTCTTAGAGCCCGGAAATTTAACCATTTCGAGGCCTTCCGCCTCCTGGCCCAGTACTTTGAGTACCGGCAACAGAACCTTGATATGTTCAAGAACCTCAAGGCCACCGATCCGGGGATCAAGCAGGCTCTGAAGGATGGATTTCCTGGGGTTCTGTCCAATTTGGATAGATACGGGAGGAAGATTCTGGTTCTGTTCGCGGCGAACTGGGATCAGAGCAGGTAGGGTGCTATTGGATTTTGGCTAATTGTGGGTAATGATGTGCACTGTCAGAGTCATCTTTTCAGCACAAGTCTTCTGTCATTCACTAGAGCATGATATTGAGCCATTATGGGATGTAAAGTGTTACCTTGTATTTAAACTTAACATTACAGCATCCATGTTACACATATTGGATGTTACTATTTCTATATGGGTCATATAGAAATTTTATTTATAGACATTTTATTGAACATTTATACAACTTTCTACAGCAAATTTGATCTAACCTTCCAAAAGATGGTGTCCACCATTTGAGAGATCTTTAAGAGACATTTTAACCATTGAGGGTGTGATAATCCAAGCCTAACCCCTGATGACCTTTGACCTGACCCAATATTTTACATGACGGTCCTTTATATATGTCATTGTGTTTTTATTTACAGTATGACAACATAAATTCAACATGGATGCACCAAGTGCCTGTGGAATATTTGCTGTTATATCCTTTTTTAATGAACGGATAACTCTCTCAAAATGTGTAATCTCATTTAAAAAAAAATATGACCTTGACATACAGTTTAAGGGTATCTGGTCTCTTGTCACATGTCAAAATGGCTACCGCCATGTAAAACATGCTGACTTTGATTTGGCAAATAAGGGGTATTTATGCATTTTTTTAATGTATTTTTGAATAATTGATCTGAACAAATGTACCCATATATAACCTTTAGTAATGTTTCATATCAATGGTTAACAGCCTAGACTTGGCTGAGAGTTCAGACCCAACAAGGGTTAATCTATCATCGATGTGTCCTTGAGAAAATCACTTCATCCCAGGTTACTCTAAGGACACTGTCCATGCAATAAATGCACTGTAAGTGGTCTACATAATAAGTGATCTACTAAATGGCACATTATGAAATCAAATAAATACATTTCTTAAAGTGTAAACAAGGTATTTATTTGATCAGTAAGTGTATTGTGGTTTGTGTGTATAAACTGTAACAAAAATACTAGTATGTGAGCTTAAACATGGCCTAAAGTTCCAAACTGAATAATTTTTATTCACCCCGTAACTCAGCATGAGCTTATACCAGTCTAAGAATTCAGTAAATTAACAATGGCCTCAACAGTCTTTGGACACTTAAAGGAATAGTTCAACCAAAAATGAAAATTTCATGACATTTTACTCAGCCTCAGGCTATCCAAGATAGATGTGTAGAGTTTGTTTCTTTATCACAACAGATTTGTATAAATTTAGCATTTCATCACTTGCTCACCAATTGATCCTCTTCAGTGAATGGGTGCCGAACAGCTGATAAAAACATAACAGTAATCGACAAATAATCCACATGACTCCAGTCCATCAATTAACATCCTGTGAAGCAAAAAGCTGTATGTTTGTAATAAACAATCATTTGTAATAACAATCGTTTGTAATAATCCATCATCAAGATGTTTTTAGCTTCCTCTATCTGTAATATTGCTTTCTCCAGTGAAAAGTTTGTCTTGTCTGAATCAGGAGAGAAATATATCAAGCACTGTTTATGAGTGAAAACAGTCGAAAACCATTCTAAACAAATATGTTGGTAGACTTTGATTTGAGAGGACAACAGGGACTTTTTCACTAAAGGAAGCTTTAATATAGATTATGGACATATGTTTTGGACTGAAGCAACATTCTAAAGTCAAACCACCTTAATGATGGATTGCTTTCTTACAAAGATGCAGATTTTCATTCCACAAGATGTTAACTAACAGACTGGAGCCGTGTGGATTATTGTGATGTCTTTATCAGCTGTTTGGACTCTCATTCTGATGGCACACATTCACTGCAGAGGATCCATTGGTGAGCAAGTGACGTAATGCTACATTTCTCCAAAACTGTTCTGATGAAGAAACAAACTCATCCACATCTTGAATGGCCATTTGAAAGTACATTTTCAGCTAATTAAACATTTTGGGTGAACTATTTCTTTAAATCATACTTAAATGTATAAATATCTTTGAATTTGTTGAACAAAAAGCTCTACTATAATTTTTCTTGCATGTATTTTGTATATAATTCTATAATGCTATACATTCATACATTTTAAGTGTCCAAATACTTTTGGGGTAAATGGCAATACATAAATATATGCATTCATTTGTTTAAGCACTGTGCATTGATGCATAATTTAAGATTACTTAAATGATATATGTACGTGTATTTCTTCAAATGTAATTTGTTTTAATGTTGTGAGAAATCCGCTAACTGTTGGTGTTTAGTCTCACCTCTTTAGAATGGAGAGTACATAGTGCTCGAGTCCATATCAAACAGCCTTTGAATTCATGCCAGTCGCACCATTGCCTCAGATGACAGGGCTCTTTGCATCCTCTCACAGGAACAATGTGTGATGAGCACTAGGGTCAAACCGTGCCTGATTTGCTGCATTTATTGCAGCATTAAGGGAAGTGTAAAGCCCTGTAGAAATGTAAATACAAATTCTGACTAATATGAAGCAAACTTACTCAGTAACCATATGAGAAAATGTGTGTATATATATATATCTGCAAACATAAAAATGTAAGTCATGCAAAAACATCTCGCATTTAGTTTGTTTGCAAATCTTCCTAAAGCCTTGTGTTTATCTGTAGGTACACTTTTGTGGATATTCTGCGAGCTATTTTACTTTCTCTGGAGGCAATGATAGAAGACCCCGAGCTACAAGTAAATGGATTTGTCTTGATCATTGACTGGAGTAACTTCACTTTCAAGCAAGCTTCCAAGTTAACTCCAAGCATGCTGAGATTGGCAATTGAGGGCCTGCAGGTAACACAATTGTCTGTTTTTAATCTTATGTTTATATAAAAAAATCTACATGGATATTACAATGCATTCTTTTAATTTGTACCTTCATGCATATAAATATGTGTTCTTGGAAGCAATGGAACATCAAACATCAAATAGGGGCAAGTCGTGGCCTAATGGTTAGAGAGTCGGACTCATAACCCAAAAGTTGTGGGTTCGAGTCTCGTACCGGCAGGGATTGTAGGTGGGGGGAGTGAATGTACAGCGCTCTCTCCCACCTTCAATACCACGACTGAGGTGCCCTTGAGCAAGGCACCGAACCCCCAACTGCTTCCTGGGCGCCGATGCATAAATGGCTGCCCACTGCTCCGGGTGTGTGTTCACGGTGTGTGTGTGTTCACTGCTGTGTGTGTGCACTTTGGATGGGTAAATGCAGAGCACTAATTCCGAGTATGGGTCACCATACTTGGCCACATGTCACGTCACTTTATAATATGTAATGTTCATAAAGTGTGCTTCAGGTTTGACTAATGAGAATCGCATAGGGAAATTCTGCATGTGTGAGGCAGAACAGGTGCTTGTAGAGGAATCCCTCTCCCGTCAAACATTTGGCATTCTCTTTGTGAGTAACATGAACAGGAGCTGACCCAATGATCTAATGCAAAGGAACACAATCTGCATAGATATCAAGAATGAGTATTGTGTTTTATTTACTTGATATTTATCAAACCAAAAAGTAGTTTAAACAACAACAACAAAAGGCAATGCATTGGGAAATGTCAATAGTGTGTGACTATAGTATAGTTTGGAGTTATTCAAGTTTTTTTTTACATTAGTAAGCATCTTTTCTGAGATCCATTCCCTTTCATTGTAATGAAGTAAAACCATAGTCTGTAATCGAAAATGGGCAAAAAGGCGGGAGCTGGTTGCTGAAACCAAGCCCACCTAGCTCGACGGTGGTGACAGCAGCGGCAATCCACTTGTCACTCAAGTGGCCACACCCTTAATTATGCAGAACTTTAAGGTTTAATATAATTTAAATGGATGGCTTATAAAAAAACTCACCCCCTCACAGTTGTCATGAAGGGCAAAATTAGCTATATAGACCAACATTTTTGAAACAGGCTGTAAACATGTTTTTTTTCTGCTGTAAAGTTGGGCATTTTAACATGGGGAGTCTATGGGACTGACTCCCTTTTGCAGCCAGCCTCTAGCGGCCAGTTGACGAATTACAGTTTAAGTCACTACCGTGTTGGCTTCACGAGAGAGAGCGGGAGGTTGCCGCTTGAGTAAAACACATTTTTGACATTTATTAATGGTGTTCGCTAAGGAAAGAATCACTATTATAAACTGCTCAAACTCAGGTTTAAGGATTTAAATAAATCCTTAAAGGAACAGTCATAATTTACTCCCCCTCATGCCATTCCAAATTTCCAAACCTGCCATTCTTCCATGGAACATAAAAGAAGGTATTTAGAGAAATGTCTCAGTGTTTTTGTTCATATAATTAAAGTCAGTGCAGTCCAGTTTTGTTTTGTACCCCACTGATTTTAACTATATGGACAAAAATAGTTTAAACTTCTTGAATATTTCTTTTTTTGTGATCTGCGGATAAAAGAAATACAGGTTTGAAATGTCATGAAATATATGGCATTTTTGCATTTTTAGTGAACTATCAGTGAACTAAGTCAGAACATGTCCCATTTTGTTTGAGCTACCTGAAATTTGCATCTTATTCCATTCTCTTAAAGGTGTCATATGATACTGCTAAAAAGAACATTATTTTGTGTATTTGGTGTAATGAAATGTGTTTATGCGGTTTAAGGTTAAAAAACACATTATTTTCCACATACTGTACATTATTGTTTCTCCTCTATGCCCAGCCTTTCTGAAATGCGTCGATTTTTACAAAGCTCATCGTTCTGAAAAGCGAGGTGTGCTCTGATTGGCCAGCTATCCAGTGCGTTGTGATTGGCCGAATACCTCAAGCGTGTGACGGAAATGTTACACCCCTACCATATTGTGATGCCCTGTCCGGCCGGAGTGACGAGACAAAAACATTAAAAGCCATTATAAACCAGGCATTCGTTGCATCCAGTGAGGACATAATTACGGATTATAATGACTTATACTGTCTTTTTACGCTTTGCATCGCGCCGCGTAAACATAAAACCATGTCTGCATTTGTGATCGGAGAAATGACAAACAACAAGCGCTACTCTACACTGCTCAAAACTCACGTTTGAATCGTCAGTTGCAAATCCTTTAAATATAAAAAACTTACTTACAGGCCGTGAGTCAGAACAGCCGACATTGTAGTCTACTCTCCCAGGATCAGGAAACAGTCCTCAATAAAATGTGCAGCACACATCTGAATATTTGGGTTGAACTGTTCTGGAACAGTGTTGTAAATACAACTTAACCACTGATTTCTAGTCGTGTCCTCTTTTGGAAGGCCAAACAAAGTAGTTTCGCTTTCACAACGAAACACACAGCGTCACACACGGCGGGCTTCACTCTTAAAAATAAAGGTGCTTCATGATGCCATAGAAGAACCTTTTTTGTCTAAATGGTTCTATAAAGAACCTTTAACATCTGAATAACCTTTCTGTTTCACAAAAGGTTCTTTGTGGTGAAAGGAGGTTCTTCAGAGTATAAAAAGGTAAGAAAGAGATGGTTCTTTAAAGAACCTTTGACTGAATGATTCTTTGTGGAATCAAAAATGGTCCTTCTTTGGCATCGCTTGAAGAACCTTTTGAAGCACCTTTATTTTTAAGAGTGTAGAGTGAGGAACGGCCGGCGGGCTAGAGAACGAAACACACAACGTCTTCACGACATGGCGGCAGCAACAATAGTACAGCGAGAACAAAAGTTACGCCTTCTTTCTATGCATAAACATTTGGGCGGCGTTATGCAAATCTTCCCACATTGTGACGTAGACATGTGGGGGCGTGTTAGAACGAGCCGTTTTAGGTAGGCGTGGTTGACTCTTAACTTTTTTAAAGAATATCTCTTTGGATTTGAGACTTTAGTCTTTGCAACTTTACAGATCTTCTTTATGCACCAAGAGCTTGTAACACTTCAAAGAGAAAGGAAAAATTGAAATCGCATCATATGACCCCTTTAATTTTCTAAGAGTTTGGACCAACAGTTTTTACCTTGTGGATGATAAAATGAGCAAAACTCTCCCATATACTTACATTGAAAGGAGTTGAGTAATATCTATGCACCAGATATTATAGAGACTTCAGCAATTGCATAGGAACACCCTGGCAACCACCTACAACACTGGTGGTGTTTTGAACTTTTTAACATCACTATTAAACATAACCGAGCAGCAATTGTCCATTGTGCTACAAAATGGTCACTGTGCATTTAACAATAGCTAATCTGTGCACAGACATTGTCCATTTCCAGAAGCAGCCTCTTGAAAGCTCTCATTTAGACATCGCTCCTTTGAGGAGGGCTTGGGTCTGATATGACATGTAGGCAGTGCAGAGTGAGGCCTGTTGACTGAATATTAATGCGGGTCCATGATGAGCCTATTCCACATTCCAGTGCCTCTTCAGACAGATTAGCTGGTGAATAATTGATCGCCGCCATTAGCATCTTGCATCCACAATGTGCTGTTCACATTGAGTGGGACATCGCATTTGTAGCTGTTTGAAAGGGAAACAATAGCGTAGATTGAGGGAAAACAGCCACAGCTAATTAGTTGCAGTTCAAAGAGTGCCCAGCAGCTAGCTTGTCATCGATCATTGTCAATACGTCACGATTTACATATGTAAATATTTACAGGAATTCAGATTTTTTACTTTTTTGATCAGATTTGCATGCATAAAAAGTTACAAAGAGCGACTTCTAGGATGATTGCATGCATTTACAGATATACACTACTGTTCAAAAGTTGGGGGATAGTATGATTTTTTTTAAAGAAATAAATTATTTGATTCAGTAAGGATGCATTAAACTGATCAAAAGTGGCAGTAAAGACATGTATAATGTCAAAATATATATATTTCAAAAATTAATACAATTTCAAAGTTCTTTTGAACTTTCTATTCATTTTTTTTCAAGAATCCTGAAAAACAAAAACATCATGGCTTCCACAAATATATTAAGATGCACTGTTTTCAACATTGGTAATAATAAGAAATATTTCTCAGCTCCAAATTAGCATATTAAAATCATTTCTGAATGATCTTGTGACACTGAAGACTGCAGTAATGGCTGCTAAAAATTCAGCTTAGCCATCACATGAATAAAGTATTATTTAAAATATATTAAAACAGAAAAAATATATTAAGTTATTCTAAATTGTATTAATATTTCACAATATTACTGTTTTTTTTTTATATAAATAAATGCAGCCTTGGTGAGATTAAGAGACTTCCTTCAAAAGCAAAAAAAAAAAAAAATCAGAACAACTTTTGAACACCAGTGTATGCTGTTTGCACTGGTTTCCTAAATGCTATTGGTCAGATGATGAATGCTAGAATGAGAGGTGTGACGCCCCATGGTTCTGTTTTGACCCTGACAGACCCACGGTATGTACATTGAGTCATTAAGCATGACGTTTAGAGCTGATGGGGAAATCACACAGCCCTCCGACCCAAAAGTGCAGGGTCATGTGAAGCATTACATCAGCCTGATGGCATTGTTCATATGGACATCTGTCTGTCTCAATCATCAATGTAATGAAGCATCAAAATCATATAATCAAAAAATCTGTTTATTGCCATATAAGTGAGTCATAAGACAGAGACAGAAAGAAAGGAAGGACATGGACAGAAGGAATAGCAGAGAATACTTAAGTCCCTTATGTTCTCTGCTCATTTTTATTTTTTTATGGTGAGTCCATTTGATGCACTAGAATCTGTTGCTATTGAAAATACCTTTTTATGTGCCAGAAACTATCATGTATGTTTTGCCAGGTTGAAAAAGAACTAATGGATTCTTACTAGAAAACCTCATGGTTTGCAGGCAATGGACATTTCGTGTTATTTGAGGTAATGTGAGTT